ATGGAAGAAGCACACCAGCATGTGTGACCACGAGCTGTCAAAGGGATCGGGTGTCAGGCATCAAGGAACAAGAAATCATGTCACTGTAAAGGTGGGTGAGAGCAGAGTGGAGACTCAGTTGGCAACTGAACACCCCCCTGCTGAGGGGTTTTGGGGAGGAGACGAACTAATCAGGGTGCAAGGTAGCAATGATGAAACATATAACTTTCCTCTAGTTCTTTAATGCTTCCTCCCCCCCAATATCATGATCCCAATTCTGCCTTGCAAATCTGGCTAGACCAGAGGATGTACATTGGTACAGATAGCAACTAGAGGGAATCCAGGACAGATGACTCCTTCAGGACCAGTGGTGAGAGGAGCGAGGCCTGGAGGGTGAAGGGAATGTGGGGTAGAAGGGGGGAACCAATTACAAGAATCTATAAGTATAGCCTCCTCCCTGGGAGATAGACAGCAGAGAAGAAGGTGGAGGGAAACGTCGGACAGTGTAACTTATGACAAAACTATAATAATTTATAAATTATGAAGGGTTCAGGAGGGAGGGGGGGAAATGAGCGAATGATATTGAGGGCTAAAGTAGAGGGCAAATGTTTTGAGATTGATGAGGGCAACAGGTGTACATATGTGCTTGACTCAATGGATGTATGTATGGACTGTGATAAGAATTGTACGAGCCCTCAATAAAGTAATTTTAAAAAATAATGAGGGCAACACATGTACAAATGTGCTTTATACAATTGATGTATGTATGGATTGTGATGAGTTGTATGAGCCCCCAATAAAATGACTTAAAAAAAAAGAAAATGGTCGAATGGCAAACAAACACAAGGAAATGCTCTTAATCGTTCAGGAGGTGCAAATCAAAACAATGAGATACCCAACCTTGCACTCACAAAAATAGCAAAATTCTAAATAAATAGAGCTGATTAACTAAAATTCGTCAATCACTAAAAGACAAATATTGTATGCGTCCACTACTATTAAGATTAAAAACCAAGAAAAAGACAGCCATCTCACCAAATTATACATCTAGAAATTGTTGAATTTTGCTTTGTAAATTTTTGCCATAATTTAAAAAATAACATGAATAACAATGAGTACAATGAAAAAGAAAAGGTTCTAAAATTGTGGTGATGATTGGACAACTCATTTTGATATGCTCGAACTATTGAATTGTATGATATGTGGATGAAGTGCCAATAAGATTGTTAAAAAAGTAAATAAAAATGGTTTCAATGATGATTCCAACTAAGAAAACAAAAAGACATCCTTCCTCTTTGAAGTCAAGCACTGTTCTAATCCATTCTTTTAAACAGCAAGGCAGAGACTCAACAGCCCTAATAAAAACAAACAAATAAGTAAACAAGGAGGGAAAATAAGGATCAAACAAAATAATAAATATATACCAAAAAAGTGGGGGGGATAGGAACAAAATAAAAATAGAAACTTTCTAGTCACCAACTACAGGTATGGATGCCAGTGTGTTCCAGGTCAAGCAAACGGGGCAACAGGGCAGTTGACAGTTGACCTTTTCCTTTTCTTCTGTTTTCACTGGTTGTGTTCCTTTTCATTGAGTAGGTGTTCAGTCTACTTTATTCCTTTCCTTTCAAGCTCGGGGCACCAGAAATATCATCCTTGTGTGTTTCCTTAGGCTTCTTGTATCTCTATTGTAGTTTTGTCTCCATAGCTTGTCTGCCTAATCCACTGTCTGGCAGGAGGTCTAACACCTTTTCCTGGTATATCAATAAGTTAATAGACAAGCAAAAAGGCCCAAAGAGATATTCAACAAAGTAAGAGTCAGAGGAGTGTTCATCACGGAAAATATGTAGTCTATTCAACCTCCAGTTATCTTCCCTTTTGAAATTCTGTTTACCAGAAATCTATAGTAAGTAACCGCCCAAACCAAACCAAACTCACTGCCATCTAGCCGATTCCCAGTCATAGCAACCCTGTAGGCCAGAGTAGAGCTGCCCCTGTGGGCTTCCAAGAGTGTAACTTTTTAGGGGAGTAGAAAGCCTGTCTTCTCTCCTAGTAAGTCACTAAGGGAATAATGTAACGCTCTGTGTGTGTGTGTGTGTGTGTGTGTGTAGCTTTTAAAGAATGCTGTGGAAGTAGCTTTATCTCCAACAAAATCCTTAAGAATACTGGTCCAGTGGTCCTTTGGTTTATATGAAGAGGTTTAGATAATCATCATTTTGTATCTTCAAGTTTTTAGGTTTCAGGTAATGAATTTTTTTCTTTAGTTTTGTTGATTATCTTTTACTGAAATTTTTCTGAGTTTGCTGTTAATTGGGAAGCATCTGTAACATTAAATAACTTAATGCTAGATGAAGGGATTAATTGTAAAATCAAAGTTGTTAACTCCCTTCCTCATTCTATTCTCCTGCCATATCAGAATCCATTTAGATTCTAGGAAATATAGTCTACCAAAGGATATCATATATATACTCTGTAACTCAATAAAATGAACAATTACCTTGAATAGAAGTTAATATTTGTAGTTGTAATTAATGGAAGTACTATGTTGGCACCACACTTCCTCACCCTAAAATTTTTCTTTGTCAGGAGGAGAAAAACAAAGAGTAGCAATTGCAAGAGCCATTTTGAAGGACCCTCCAGTCATTGTCTATGATGAAGCCACTTCATCATTAGATTCAATTACTGAAGAGGTAAATGATGATGAAAATATATAAAGCTCATCCATTCTCGGTGCTTAACTTTTCTTCTTGAAAGTTTCAGTAAAATGCCTGTATTACTGTGTGCTTTAAATGCATTTCAATCTGTACTGCTGTGGAACAAAACGGCCAACTCTTTTCCCCCCATATAGCAAGTGTTGATGATAAGGTTGCCATATTAAGTATAAACTTGTTAAGTCCATTTGCAAATGTGTCCTCTTGCAGTAATTGGCTGATAAGCTGAGGAAAGAAGGTTTTAGTTTTTCATCGATGTCAGTGTCCGGTTGCCAGTTCGCACTCATTGAAATAAGGCATGCAAATAAATGGTTGTGACACGACCCAGAAAGGAACAACCCACTGAAATGGAAGTCAAGCACACACAACCTAGAATGCTCATGTCAGTTTATATTCATTTTCAGTTATCAACATGTCACCTTGATGTCGTGACCCTAACTTAACAACTCCAGTAGACTTCATAATAATAGCTTTGCAGTAAATACAGAAATGGTCTCAAAGCGATGGTAGTGAACAAATCCCCTTAAATGGATATTAAGCTAATGCTGTTTTGCCAGTGTCCTCCTCTCAATGCTACCTTTTAATTTAATACATACATTGTGCCCTTAAAGGCTGTCTGACATATTTGCATATTGAGGTTAGTTCCCTGACACATTATTTGACCACAAGTATACTTAAAGCAGTTCATTTCTAAAGTAGATTGTTGAGCATAGAGATTCGTTATATTTATAGCCACCCCTAATTGGGACCAAATCTCAATTGTAGGCAAAGCAGTAGCCTATTTTATAAGATTTGTACCTAAAAATGTGTCATACCTACTTTTGTTGTTAGGTGTGGTTGAGTCCAATCTGAGAGCAAGCCTGTGTGCCAGAGTAGAGATACCACATATGGTTTCCTTGGCGATACTTTTTATGGAGTGAATCACTGTGTCCTTCTCTTATGTAGTCACTGAGTGAATTTGAACCTCCAGCCTATAGATTAGCAGCAGAGACCTTAACCCTTAACTTAAGAGACCTTGTTCAGTTCTCAAACTTTTAGGTGCTTGAACAGGAATTTGGAACTTGAATTGAGTTCAACAACTGAGGTATCTCCATTTTCCAGACTATGATTTAGAGAAATGTTTCATATTTTAAAGATAAAATTTTCCATTATAATGTGTTCATATTTGCGATTTTCTCCTTTTTCCTCTTCCTTCTTAGTAATTATTTAGATTATGAAACTGAGTCCAATATCTTATGTAAAGTTACAAAGACTCATTGATGAAAGTTCATGGGAAAAATGGAATTAAAATATGTGATTATTTTTAATATACATGTATATTTCTATTTTCTCCTATTCTTCTTGTCAAACTTGCAGACTATTCTTGGTGCCATGAGGGATATAGTTAAACACAGAACTTCTATTTTCATAGCACACAGATTATCAACAGTAGTTGATGCAGATGAAATCATTGTCCTAGACCAGGTAAGAGATTTTCATTTTAAAGTCTAGTGTTTGAAGAACATAGTAAATTGTTTAAAATGCAAACAAGTAAAAATTGTTTCTAATTAAATATACAGAATTTGTATTCTTTGGGTGAGATGGAATCCTGTTGTGATTCCATGCTTAGGCTCTTTGAATGAACTAACTTTTGTCAGTTCCAAATAGGAATATACAGCATCAGCTCAATATTTATTAAAGTATTCAAAGAAGAAATTAGAGTAAAACCTGTTGATGTCAAGTCTATTTCAACTCTTAGCAACCCTAAAGGGTAGAACAGAGCTGCCTCATAAGGTTTCCAAGGCTGTAAATCTTTATGGAGGTAGACTACCACATCTTTCTCCTGGGGAGCTGAAGGTGGGTTTGAACATCTGACCTTTTGGTTAGTAGCCAAGTGCTGTGACTGCTGTGCCAGTAAAGCTCCCGGAGTTAGAATAGGAAAGCATGAAATCCTTATACCTCATTTCTAACACCTGTACATACCCTTCATGGCAATAAAGCAATGTTCCATAAAATTAAATAGTCATTTTCACACGTGGCCATTTTAATTTTTCTCCATTGGGAAAAGGAAGTAAAAAAGATAGCCTGTTTTATCTCTTCTGAGGTAATTACTTTAAGAGTATACTATCTGAATATTCTGAGCAAAACTCTTATGATTGGCGTATTTGAAAATCGTAGTAATATTTCTTTTCTCCTCTCTGTAAGTCACTCTTCTCACTCCCTAGTGCTTGATTATTTCTAACATTGCTCAGTATTTTTACCTCCTACTCGGCAGGCTTATAGTTATTTTTCCTTATGACAAACTTAATTCTTTATCATTTGAAAGCTTGAGTACTGAGAGTTCATGCAGAAGTGTTCTCCTGTTCCTTCTTTATGTTGTGACTTAAAGGGGGATTTTTTTTT